GACCACGACGACCACGACTACCACCACAACGACCGCCACGACCATGACCATGAAAACGACCACGAAAGCCACCACAACGCCCACCACGACCACGACGACCACTATACCACTACCACTACTGTACCACTATTGTAGCATCACAACAACCAGCATTATGCGCCCAGCAGGGGAAATCCCACCCCAGAATGATATCGGAGTGCTAGGAAGGATATCGTTGTGGTAGAATGATGATCAAGATGAATACTGTATTTGATGGTAGCCATGGTGATGCATAAAACGTCAGAATTCGTAGTTTCGCCNNGTTCGCCCCCCCCCCCCCTCCCCCAGAGCTTGAAGAACACAACAGAATTTGCAGCGTTTAGCGCAAAAATGCTAACAGCACAACAGGATAACCGTCATTGTTGCAGAATAGCGTTAAAGTGTTAAAGGCGCAACCCCGGAAAAAATCATGGTAGCAGGGGCACAACAGCTTCACCATGTTGATGACATGTAAAATGTGGAGCTGTGCTACACCTCCGCATGAGATGAACAAGGCTTGCGAAGAAATCTTGTGACCCCTAATTTTTGGATAGTGTTGTCCAAAACCGCGGGGTCACAAGATTTGCAGGTGGATTTCAAACTCAATGCCCTTGCCCAAACTTTCAACGCATGAAGCATGCTCGTGTCGCGCTCTTGTTTTTCCTCCCCCGCTGGGCGGTACGTTTGCTACTGGTTCTTCTACTAGTGAGGCCACAGCTACACCACTACTTGTATTGTTCTACGGCTGAACTCTTTTGTCCAAGTAATGGAAAGAAACTTGAACATGATTAAGATGGAATGTGGTTCTCTTGTCTCCGCAAGTCCGCAAAGATGGAGAAACTCTGTAGGACCTGATAGAATTTTAGCAGAGTGACTTGGGAGCTTGAGAAGGTGTAGTGTAGCATGACCTCATGGCTATTCTTCCAGGGATGCATTCAATCTTAAGCTGTGCAATATGCGTTAGCAGTACTAGTCATATTTTCTCGCTTCTGGGCGATGCCCTTGTGAGAGCTGCAGTTCTTTAACATATTGCTGGTACCCCAGCTATGATGTCACAACACAACGCGTAACTACGGGGATTCTTTTATTTGTTGCTAGGCATAAAGACTATTTCCATGTTTCTAGCAAGACGAGTCGCACCTGCTTTTGAATTTGGAAGCAGGATTGCAATGACATTTTCATATTGTTCGTGAGATCCATCACTACTTGGGCTCGGCACATGAGCTCTAGCTCCGCGGATCTTTGAGCTTCCCACCAGTACGAAATCAGTGTAAAAGATTCATGCTTGAGAAGTGCATCTGGTTCCTCTAGCGGTCTGAGAATGTCGATCTGCAGAAGCCTTGTACTGTGTAACCAAAGCGCAGTAGGAGCAGTGCATTCATGTTGGTTAGGATGCCAGAAAGCCTATGCATACAACGGTGTAAAAAATCGAGCTCTGCTGAAGTTTTTTCTCATGCAGCAGCAGGTAGAAAGCAACTCAGATATTTGTAAAATGAATTTCGGATTCCATGGCTTTGCAGCAAGCAGGACCTGAGTGAACATAAAGGGGCCTAGTTTCTGCTAATGTATATAGACACACGCTTGCGGATGCCCCCCTTTCCCGTTCGTTCCTGTTCTTTGCTCTTATTGATGCTATGACAAGTGAAAACATTGAACGATGTTGCGACTATTGCTCTTCTTTGAACTTGCGTTGCATTTTTTCTGCCCTGTCCTGCTTACGGTCACGAGGCGTAGCAACATTGTGGTCATTCTTACTCAAGCATCGTGCCAGCACTGAGGGCTTCCTGCATTGGGTGTTGGCGCAATTTTGGTTCGCGTCCTCACATTTGACCGGACATTAAGCTCTCGCATGTGGCATCCATCGACATGTCGCGATGGTTTGGAGCATCCTCACATTTTGGCTCAGGGTCGCGCTTTTGCATTCTCCCATGAGCTTCCTCATATTCTCTTAAAACGAGAGTCACCTCCTCCCGCCATTAGACAAAAGTCCACCTGGCTTCAAAGAGCTGTTGTATGGGTGATCTGATTTGGGAGGCACGGATGTCCTCCGACAGGGCTTGGCTTCATTGCTTGGCCAAAGATTGGGCCACCTGCGAGAGGGCGGGACAAAGGGATGCAGCTTCAGTATAGCATCAGGTCACAGGTTGCCGAATCTGCAAGTGCACAGGTATCTTCAGAGATCTGGAGATATGTCCATCCTTAACGCCGGGAACACCACGCTTGCAAGCCAGGGCCTAGTCATTCTGACTTTGAGTCGAGTCCCTGCAACTTGGAGCTGCAAGCCAAGGCTTGGTGCCACAGCACACGGCTTTGACAGCTGTCGCCTTCCACCCTTCCGCTTGTCTTGCACTAGACGGCAGCTTGACCGGTGACCTGGCGCAGAGTTTGTCCTTTCTTGCCTTCCATATTCATACTGCCTTTATGTGGTTGACTACTACGGCCTGCCAGGTGCATATGCGCTGATAGCCGGAGCTGAAGATGGCTCCGTCCACGTGCTGGAGGCCATGCTGGCATCTTGATCGTCAGGCAGACAGGGCCAATCGAAGCCGTGACAGCTAATGAAGGAGTGATATTTCTGCATTGGCGACGTTCAAGCATAGGCATGCGGATGGCAACCCAGCAACTGAGTGAATCGATAGCATCAGGGCCACAGGCTTTTGACGTGAAGCATGTCGTAGTATAGCACCATGACACCTCACGCCCAGCAAACTACTGACTTGCAAAGCAGCTGCAACATATCCGTACCAAGCTTGCACAAAGTTTGCCAAGCGCTGCTGGCCGCATGGTGCCGAGAGCCAGCTCAGTATGCAAAACGACAGTGACGTCTTCAGCTCTGGACCCGATGAAGACTTAGATGCTGAGAGCGAAAACCTGTGGAGAGCAGAGGAACAGGCCGCTGAGGAAGAAATCCGCATGGCGGAAGAGGCGGCAGCGGAGGAGTTGTGGATGGCCGAGGAGGCAGCAGCTCAGGCAGAGATGGCTGAGTTGGAAGAGTTTGCACAGGAAGCAGAGCGTTGGATGAACGAGGACGCTCATTTGAAGTCAAGGCCACGTCAAGAAGCCCTGTGAACCCGTCAGTGGTTGTGGTTCGAGATCCTGTCACAGCTTGGTATTCCGTACCTTTGCTTTAGCTAGGCTGCGCCTTCTGTAACAATTGCGCTAAGAAACCAACAGTAACAACAGATGCCAGCGGCGGCAGCTCATAGTAGCACTTGTGCAGATTTGAGGAAATGCAACGGATTTCTGTGGCGTTTAAACCTCAAGGGTTTTGACAGGTAGGAAATTTCCTGATGGTCGCGTGGCGCTCTTTGATACAGGGGCTGCTGATAGAGACTCTGCCTTTCGGATTTGCTATCTGGGGCCAAGATTCGACTGCTGACTGGAAAGGGCCGGTTCGCGACCCGCAGGGGCAGTGCGAATTGAAGAGGTCTTTTTGGGAGGCCGAGGCACGAAATTGCACATCCAGGTTGAGTTCCTCGAGGCTTATCGGGAGCAACTGCGTAGGTTGCCGATCTGTAGTGAGCGTGAGGCTTTCCTGTTGGGGATTGCCTGCGGAGCATCTGCAGTTTTCGGGGCCGCTTGTCTGGTCTTGATTTTCTGGCATCGTCGACGCCAGACTACTTCCGCTGCAACTGTCGAAGGGCTTTCTCGATCTGTAGACAGTGCCGTGCTGGGTCAAACTGGAGAGCAGAATCCACAGGACCGAAATGAGGTCTCATTGGCTGCCGCTCGACAACGTGCTCGTGCGCTACGTGGATGACCCTGATCTTTAGCACCACTAAAGGGTCTGGAAAGAAACAAGGCACATGTGGTCACTCCTGATCGGGAAAGTTTCATCACAGAGCTGGCTGTCGGGGAGGTCTATGATGACATAAAGCAGATGCACAATGGCCGCCTGCCCGTAGGTCTGACAGAGGATGACACCTATCTGGCAAAGCACTCAGAGCAAGGTCCTTTTGTTAGTGAGGAGCTGCTTGAGCTTGCGAGAAAGGCAGATGCTGACGTTCAGGCTCGCCCTTCGAGGCGAATCACCGGGAAGCTGGATGAGAATGGGATACGGCAACCTGTTGGAGGGCGGTCTGCCCCTGCCATCGTTGAACAGGCCTTGGCTTCGGATCAGGTGTGGGTTGTAGTTTACAGCTCCACGGGGGAGCGACTGGGTGATCAGATCGAGCCTCCATCTGAGCCAGGGATTCTTCTTGTCGGTGGTCTGGAGCATAAGCTGTTCTCGAGAGGAGGTGCTATCCTGTTAGTCCGCCACGTCTCTTCTGAAGGGGCGCCTCAACTCAGTGACTTGGTTCGTGGGGCCTCAGGGGGAGATGAGCAGAAGCCGCCAGAGCGGGACGTCAGGGTGCTGCAGGTCATGTACAACACCGCCGAAGAGATCGATTTTGATGATTTTCCTTTGGCAGGTCCTCGAACCATTTACCGGGACATGAAGCAGCTGCGCAGGCTGGGATTTGACTGGGTACAACATCATGAGATGCTACGACCAGCTCAACTTGGCAGCCTTGGCCTCTGCAGAAGCTTTGAATCGCCGACGCTCCTTGATTGAAATAACACACGAAGGGAGGCCGGATGCGCCCTCTTACGAGGCCGTTGAGGAGTACCTTGGAGTTAGAGGGGCCGCCGATGGAACTATTGTGGACCCCGCCTTGACTCAGCACGCGGCCAAAAGACAGGCCGCAATAGCAGAGGTCCTCAAGCAGAATCGCAGGTCATCTTCGCCCAGGTCCTCCGAGAAGCCGGAGAAACCAGAGCCGGGGAAGGGTGGCCAGTGCGAGGGCAAGTCCAATAGCAGCGCCTTTTGAGCGGGGAACGGGTCTCGGGTTGGAGGGTGCCCGAGCTGTCCAAGGGCAAGTTTCTTACGCAGCGAGCTCAGGTCTACTCCAGGTCTTTCGCCAGAGCTTTGATCACCAACTTCAAGCTGCAGTAACCTGGCTGTCTGTTTTTGTTTTCCCACCCACTACCGCCCAGTGCCATACTGTATACGGGTAAGGGGATGGGACAAGATGTCTCGGGGCCAAGCTTTGGGGGTCACCTACAGCTACAAGACTGAGCTGCGACGTTTTTCTTTGCTCATGGCCCTCCACAACAGATTCGGCAGCAGGAGTTGCACAAAGAGAGTTGGCTTCCTGATGCGAGACGTGCACCAGTGAGTGGCATGTACTCATTGATCAGTGAAGCACCTACTGCGCATGTAAACTGGCAGCGCGCGCCTTTTTTCGCACACATGGGCCCTATTGCGGGTTGGGCCTTGACTTAGAATGTTTCTGTAACTGCTATAGTGACTATAGTGCACCACTGGAAGGCCTGTGCCTCAGGCAGGCGCAGTTTCACTATGTCTCGCGACTGATGCTCCAAGAAACTGCGTACTGGATGGTCAAGAACCATCTCAGAACTGCAAGAAATGTGTTCTCACTCTTGTCAAGACTCTTGTTCTGCAAGATGCAAAACAGCCATCTTAAAGCTCTGCACGAACACAAAACGAGGTCTGGAAGGTGTTTACGATCTTTTCCCCTACAACTGATTCATCAAATCACAGTTCTGCAGGGGTTCATTGTTGCCTAAAAGCTTCCATAATCCAGTCCCCAAGCAACGCGTCGCTGGTGGGATTCCGGATGGGAAGGGATATCGCTTGCCTGCCGGGATTATTGTTGCAATGCTGCATGAGGTTCTCACTCCTGAAAAGGTTTCTGTGTGTGTCCGCTTGTGGCGCTGCAGCTAGTTTCCTTGGCATGAGCAGGGCGTTCTTCAGAGTCCCCTCCTCCCAAAATATGCACATGCAGCATTTTTACAACATCCCCTTCCCATCTCATTCATGTCAAGGAGCAAGCGCACTACATGGGCGACCTTTTCGAAGAAGACGCTCTGCAAATGATCTCGGATGCAGAAGATTTCGAGCAAGCAATGGAGCAAGAAGCAGTCTTCGGTGATGGCGAATCCGACGATGACATGTCTTTGTTTGGCGACATCGGCCTGGGCCAAGCTGAGGACATCAGAGATTTCAACGACTGGGGTTGGGATCCTCATCAGATGGCGCAGATGGCAGCCGCAGACTTAACAATAGCCTGCCGCGCCGTTTGGGAGGTGCCGCGGATGCCGCTGGGCCAGGCCGAACTGTGGCACTTTGGCCCCAACGGACCACCCATGAATGTCGCTCAGTTTTCAGCTTTCAGCTCAGGAAAAGATCATCCAATTTCCTCTTTTTCTACAGGAGCTACAGGAAAACTCACTGAAGTTGGAGCTGTGGAACCTTTGACCCAGCTGGTGCAGGCGTGCACCAGTGTAAAACGATTTCAATTTGCCTGGTGAGCAACTGAGGTCATGGACGTGTGCCCCGTGTCACAAGTGCTTTGGATTGCCAATCAGCGCCAGCTCTTTGGATTCTCCCTCGCTGGGTTGGAGGCTCAAGTGGCGCAGGTCGACTCCTCCTCTTCCGAGGGCGCAGTGTTGACAAGTTGTGCGCCGGAGCTGAACGCACAGGCCAACCGTATCCGGTGTGGCCAGGTCGGTGGCCAGTCGGTGGTGGTGGCCGTTGATGCTTCAGGCGGTGTCTTAGTCGTGCCGTCCTCTCCTGGACAACCTGTGTTGAAGCTTCAGAACGGGCTTCAGAATGTCTCCAGCTTTGGTGTCTCTACCTGGGGCATCGGGCTTACTCCCCATGGTGAACCTGCGGAATCTGACGGCCCACTCCTGGTCTCTGCAAATGACAAATGCGTCAAAGCCTGGTGGTTAACTCCGCCTCAAAACGCAGATCCAACACTCCCTTCACCGTCTGCCCCTTCGCGCGGACGGAAGATCCAGAAGAGCTGGCAAACAAGACAAGTGAAGGAGAGCACCGGATCCAGTGACATGGCACCATCATTGCTGCACCGCTTTGCTGACAATCTGCCAAGCATTGACATCGCCTGTGGAAGAGCGATTCTGGGTTCCCTTGGTGGTGAGGTGAAAGTGCTGAACTTGTCACCGCCTCCACGGCCTCCCCCAAAAAATCCACCACCAGAGGCACCAGTTACCATCCTTGAGCAGCCGGTGTGCCTTGAGGAGGATGGCCGACCTCGACACCCCCCGCGGTTTCCACCCGAGAAGGAGCCGGCGTCTGTTGTGCGCAGCTTTGCTCCAGAACCTGAAGGAGGGATGAGGAGGTGGGAAGTGAGAACTATGTTGTAATTACTGTGAATTCCGTAGCCATCTCCCCGACAGGAAAGCATGGAATGCATGTTGGATACCATTGAGATGCATCCACACAGTGGACGTGCCACCTTGTCCATTGTCAGGCCCATTTTGCTGATTTCCATGCTCTCCAAAACTGGCTCTGGGCCCCGCTTGTGGAATTCAGCAGCTGTCAGGTGACAGCATCATGGATTGGTCTGCGAATGGCTGCTCACTGCCTGCAGAGATAATACGATCCTTCGTGTTTCCGTTGCTGGGATCCCAGGACTTGGGCGTATGCCATGCAAGCAAACTCCACCAAATGCGCACTGAACATGAGCCAGGACCTTCTCCAACGCGTGCAGGTCCTAAGCTGCATGCATGCTGAAGAAGCACGGGCGCAAGTGCTTCTAGGCCACCGTCATGGCGCATACTTTGTATGGAGCCAGTCAGGGTAACGCTTTGAGGGTCCCTACAGTAGGCCCTAGCCAGCACCAAGCGTGGGATTCGTTTGGTCACTTCTTTTGGCAGGCACCCGGGCGGAGTACATGGCAATGATCTTCTCTGAGACCACGGTGTGGCTCACTGCAGCCTGGGTTGAAATGAGGCGGCATAGGCATCAAAAAAAAATTTGACAAGCATCAACAAGAAATTTGAGCGTTTCAGCTTGACTATTATTCTGGGCATTCCTTTCGAACATTTTTCATTTTCTGCTGTGTTGCCAATTCGCCTGTTCTTGGTCCAAACACATTCTTTGTCCAAGCATGGCACATATAATATAGTATATCTTTAATATAGCAGGCGTAGGCGTAATTGTCAAGCAGTCGCAGGCGTTGGTGTAGTTGTAGTCACAGGTGTAGTAGCAGATTAAAGGGGAAGGTCCAGTAGAAAACCTAGAACGCCTTCGGCGCATCCCGGCTTCCGGCGCGGCAACGACGCCGAAGGCGCCCAGGGTTGAGGGGTTATAGTCAGGGACTTTGGGAAGTAGTGGGGACATTGAAGCATACTGAAACAGAAAATGGAATTGCTGTTTAGGGTTTGGGGTTCAGGACTGAGACCCTACAACATACAAAGGTTGATTTTCTATGGCTTTATTATAGGAAGTTCTCATTCGAGAGGTTTAGGGTTTAGGGTTTAGAGTTTGGGGTGGGGAGTTGGGGTGGAGAGTTTCTGGTGTGGAATCGTGGGCCATGGTGCAAATGAAGTTAATATGTTGCTAGCCCTTACCCCGAAAGCCTACACCCTAAAACCTAAAACCGCAGCTTCAAGCTCAATCAGGAACTTGACAGTTGAGGGCTCAGGTTGCTTATAGGGCTTAATACTTGGAATTCAGGGTGGTGCCAACCACTCAGGTCCATGGCAGAGGGTGCTTGGTATTAAGATTTAGCAAATATACATATCCCAAATCGGGTATTATGGACACTGGAGCATGCCTCGCGCCGTGCGATGCAAGCTTCCCGCGTGGGCTTATGTATAGCACTCTAATCCCATGCTATTGCTAGGGATCAAAGTCTATGATTGGGTCCAGCGTGGGCTTATGTATAGAACTATATCGCATGCTATTGCTCAGTAGCCAACTCTATAATTGGGTCCACTCGGGCACTGTATTCCCATGTCAGGGAGCCGTAGTTGAAGGCGCAGGCGTATAGTCGAAGGCGTAGGCATAAGCAATGGCTGCCTTTCACCTCTTCGACATCCCTTCGGACACCGTCATTATTGCCTGGGGGGCTGAGCATAAGTACGACAATGGCATCTCGCATTCTTTTGGAAATTCCTTGGTTTTGGTGTGAACGAAATGCTTTTTAGGCGGAGTTTAAGAAACATTGTTCTCCCAAAGAATCCCCCAGCGTCCCCCAACCCTACACCTTACACCAAAAGCACAGAGGCTCTTTCCCGCAGAGAGGCCGCGAATTCTTTGCGGGATGGGCCAAAGGCGTCTACCCAGACCACGTTCACACCTCTCTGGATGTGCGGCAGTTGATACAAGATCCTCGGTAATGAGTACAGCAGCCAAACTTTAACCTTGTTGAAGATACTAAACCTTTCTAAAAAGGAAAACTTAAACTTGCGGAGTCTTGGGTACTGGACAACTAAGGACCCAAACAAAAACGAAACGCTGCCGGATGCCCCTACTGCACATGTGAAGCGTGGCAAGATGGGCGAGAGGAGTCAGAGCCCTGGACCTTCTCGCGGCGTGCGCGGTGAGTCCGCTTAAATGTTTTTGCTTCCAGGTACTTTTCGCGTCTTCGGCTCCATTGCAATCCGTACGCCCTAGAATACCCGAAGCCCTAAAACCCTAAATCCTAAACCCTGAACCCTTGTCACAGCTTAGGAGAGTGGAACCCCGCCAGTAACGAGACCTTTTTGAAGGCCATGATGCTGGAGGTGGGCTTTCTGGGGGGCTTCGCAACCGCCCTTGCCATGTTCTATGGCGCCCTCGTTGCGATGACGTCCTCGGGCACGCGCAGCCCACTGTGTTTCCAGCTGATTTGCTGCTTGCCAGGTTTAAGTCAAATAAAATGTGTGATTACGATACGTACATAGTAACACGTGTAACGCAAACCCTAAACCCTTCAAACCCTAGGAAGATCAGCCAAGGTTACGCTGGGAAGCACAGGTCGGCGTCTGTCGCATGCATTCTCAGCTACATCTTCCGGGTAAAGGTTGCCCTGCCATCGCATTACGGCTTGAGAGCGGTTCCGTTTGTCTTCAATGGCCAGTCCGATGAGGTGCGCAAAGACATGAAGGCGTTGGTCGAGGAGGCACGCAAAATCGCCAGGATCACAGCAGGCGGAGGCGCAGTCGCAATCGCAGGCGGTGTACCGGAGCCAGCAAATCCACCAAGAGCGCAGGCGCAGGCGACGGCACTGGAGATGGTTGCTTGGATTCACCCTAATACTTGCTTCACTTGAGCTTGCGTACCATGTATCGCCCCAACTGCGTGATGGCTACATGTTAGTGGTTAATAAGTTGAGTCCCATCAGTAATTTTAAGTAAGGTGCAGAAAAAAGTTATGGAGGCGGCTCCGGAGATTTACCTGCTTTTTCAGGAGGTCAATGCGGATGAGAAGGCGTGGATGGCAGCACGGTTGCATGTTGTACTTTTGCACGTGTACCGTGGTAAATCATGATACATCAAAACCATAAGCAAACCCTAAACCCTAAACTACATTTATGATAGGCTTTCAACTTGGCTGCATGTTGACATGTTGTTACACGCACATTGACAAATCATGATCAATGAAAACCATAAAA